GCAATAAAAACCAAAAAAATTGAGTAAATTAGGTTAACATCAGTTTAGAAGAGCTGAAGAAAATATTAATGAATTAGAGAGAGCACTGGGGAACTGACCTACAGAACGAAAAAGAAAGAGAAGGAAGGGGAAATACGACATCAAAGTTATGACAGTCTTGAAGAACGGTCTGACTTGATTTTTTTCCCCAGCAAATTATCAAAAGAGAAAATGTCAATATTTAAAGACGTAAAGTGATTTAGAACTATTTCCAGACTGAAGGCCTGAATCTTCATTTAGAAACTGCACAGCAAGAGCTAAGCGAAATACAAGCAAACAACACTTTGACAAACAACGGAAGGGAGAACATAATAGCCAAAGAGAAAACCATGCACCCTCTCTGGGAGAAAAACAAAATTTCTAATAATTAGAATGAGAACAGATATCCCTTTAGAAGCAGTAAAGATCAGAAGACAACGAAGTAATAGCTTCAACGTGCTGAAGAAAAGATGATCAAACTACAGTTATGTACACCTATAAACAATCATTCAAGAGTAAGGGCATTAGGAAAACATTTTTAATACATAAACGAGTAAAGGAATTATTTACTCATAAAAATTCAGAAGCATTTACTTAGCAAAAAGAAGAGTACACTTGTATGGAAGGCATAAAATGCAGTTAGCAATTGTGAGAAACAAAGATCCAATATGTTTGTACATTTTATTTAAATAAGTAATTTTTGTTGAATTTCTTTCTTTCTTTTCGAAAACACCTAAAACTAAAATTCTAGATAGAATAATGTGAATAGCATATGGTTTGAGAGGAGAGAAGAGAAACTAAATGCTCTAAATTTGTTGGAAAAGTTTAAAGTTTAGGATATATATTGAATTTCAGCAAGTTCATTTGCTGAAGGTGGGTTTTGCTTGTTGCTAAGAGACACAGGTCAATTCAAATTCCCTGAACTTCCCTCTTACCTACAAAAAAGCAAAAAAACTAATGTTGATAATAATAAAGAAAAAAAATCAGATAAATCATTATTAGAGATAATTATTACATGGTAATTCTGTATCTAAAATGTTAGTTACCACTAAGAAAACAGAAATACAGTTGATAAATCCATATAAGCAAAACATATGAAAAGAATAACAGAGAAAAACAGGAAACTGCATCATCACAACAAGAGATAAAGAAAACAAAAAGAACCCAGGGAAAAATAAGGAAGAAAGGCAAACATAGCATGCCAGACATAAGTCAAAATCAGTAATATACTCATTTGTTATAACAGAATATATAGGAATGTATTTTAAAATATTCATTTTAAATGCTACTCTTAAGAGACACAAATAAAGCCAAATAATACAGAACATTTGAGATAAAAGACATAAAAAATAAGGAATAATAAGGAATAGTTATTTTTAAAAAGCAGGCCCAACAATAGCAAATAGTGGTATTATTAAAAAGAATTTAGTAAAAGCTTTAACAAGAATAAGACACTCTATAATAATAAGGGTATTCACTAATATACATATAAATATTATAAATTGTGATACTTTAATGATATAAAATTAAATGCATAAAGTTAAAATTAACAGGATTATACAAAAGAAATGAACAAATTTATAATTATAGTGGGGTCTTTAAAACATTTTCCAAAAAGCTGATTTAGAAAAATATCAGGGCCATAGAAAATATAAGCAATGTAGTCAACAGCATTATTTCCTGTTTTTCTGTCTCTATCTAACTATAAAACTCTACATTAAAGAAATAAATATTGTACCTTCTTTCCAACACATGTGAAACCTATTTTAAAAATCAATCAGTACAAGCCACCAGGGAAATCTCAATTACAAAAAAACATACTTGCATTATTTGACCACAGATAAATGGTGTCAATAACAAAATTACCTATTTGTATTAAAATATACACGTATGCACACAAACATTGTGTAAATAACCTTCAGTTTGAAGAGGAAATCTCAATGGAAATACCAAAGTGTTTAAAAGTGAATAGTTGCAAAAAATTACCTATCAAAATGTATTCTACACATCAAAATGTACAGAATATGGTTAGAACACTTATTGCTGTACATTTATAAATTAGAAAAAGAAGAGAAAAATTAGCATAAAGAAGCTATGTGGTAATGTTAAAAAGCCAGGTGAAGGTGAAAAATAAAATATATCCAATAAATAACTCAATTATATCTGATAAATAGAATATATATTCAAAATACATACAAAGCATGCAGTGTAGCCAAGAAAGAAGGAGAAACAAATTACAAAGGTAAGAGAAAAATAAGGCAGCACACATTAAAATAAAAGAGAAGATATGAAAATCAAAATCTGTATTTTTAGAAAAGAAAAATAAAAGAACATTTTAATCAAGGCAACTGAAGAAAAGATGAAGCTCAAATAACCAATACTAGAAAATGAAAAAGTAGAGTATTTTTAGATTTATGGTGATTTAAAACTTACAGGAATAATACAATAAAATTAATGCCCAAGAGAACTTTTTGAAAATATTTACATTATAAAATGAATAAAACATAGAAAACTTGAAGAGACTAATAACCATTAGAAAATGTATTCATTCCTATTCCCCCTTCTTGTTCTATCCACAGAAAAAGAAAAGAGATCAAGGCTAGAAGATCAAATAGTCTATATATACGTAATCACTAACTAATAAAGACTGTTCTAAAAATTAAAAAATAAAAACTATTCAAATTATTTTTCAAGATCAATATAACCATGATAGAAAAACCAGGTAAAGGTATTATGAGAAAAGAAAATTATTCACCAACTGATACGGTTTGGGTATTTGTCTCCTCCAAGTCTCATGTTGAAATTTGATCACCTATGATGGAGGTGAGCTGTGGTGGGAGGTATTGGGGCAAGGGGGTGGATCCTTTATAAAAGACTTGGTGCCTTCCTGGAGGTAATGAATCAGCTCTCGCTCTATTAGTTACCCTGAGGTCTGATTATTCAAAGAGCCTGGCAGCTCCTTCTCTCTCTTTTCCTTCCTCTGCCATGTGACATGACAGCTCCCATTCCCCTTCCACCATGATTGGAAGCTCTCTGAGGCCTTCACCTGAAGCTGATGTTGGTGGCATGTTCCTTGTACAGCCTGCTGAACCAAGAGCCAAATAAACTTCTTTTATAATATTTATGAATTACCCAGCCGTAGGTATTTCTTTATATTCTAAGTTGAATTTGAAAAGCAGGAAAACAGAGAAGAAAGACTTGGCTCATTACCTACCACATTTAAAGCCACAGTATTAAACAATATTTAATTGGGACAGGAGTCAATAAAAAGAATTTAAAAAGAGACCCATAGCCACAAGGAAATGCAATGTCTGATAGAGGCAACAGTACAAATTAATCATGAAAAGGTGAACACTGCAGTAATTGGTGCTGGGTCAACTGGCTCTACATATGATAAGAATGCGACGAGATTCTCTGTCATGAACTTTACCCTCCACAATAATCCTGCTGGATCCAAGGCCACAGATTGAAAAGTAAAAGTTTAAAATTTTTAGAGGAATATGTAACTGACAATTTTCCTTACAATGTGGAAGCAAATAATTTAAGACAAAAAAGTCATGAAGAAAACATAGATCAATTAGATACATAAAACCTAAAGGTATAAAATTTTTTTTAACTTGTGTAACTAAAAATAGGTAGCTACAATGGTAAAAAGAATTTACTAAAGTGAACAAGAAGAAATGAATAATCAACCTAGTAAACAAGTGTACCATCTACATGGAAAGCAATTCAGAGAAGCGCAAACTTGAATGTTTAAAAAAAATTAAAATTATGCTCAATCTCATAACCGAGAAAATAAACCGTTAGTTTAAAATGCTGTATTATTTTACACCAATAAGAGTGGAAAAAAATTTTAAAGTTTGACCTTGCCAAATATAATTTAGAATGTGGATAAATAAAAACTCTTGTATACTGGGGAAAGAGTACAGACTAAGGACCAATTTATAATCTGACAATCTAGCAGGAAACTGAAGATGCAAACCTGTGACTCAGCAATTCTACTCATAAGCATACATCCTACAAAAAGTCCTGCACATTTCATAACGATATATATAAAGTTGCATATTGTAGAATAATTTGTAGTAATGAAATATCAGAAACAAATGATATCAAAAGAGAAATGGATAAATAAAATGCAGTATATTGTTACAATTGACATTTATCAACATCAATGGATCTCAAAAATATAATGTTGAATTTAAAAAGCATATTGTAAATGATTCCACATGATATCATTTATGGAAATTTGAAATATGTAATGTTTTGATAGTGACTACATATATATGAAATAAAGTATAAGAGCATAAACTGATTAAACACACACAGTTGTGATGGTAGTTGCCTCTGGCTAGTCAAGAAGTAGAATGATCGTGGGGAGAAAAGGGGGTGAAGTTGATTCATGATAACTTCATTTATTTTATGAAAACATGTCAGAAGCCAATATGAGATAAAGTTAGTATTTATCATCCTGGGTAGTGGATGCAGGTATGTGTGTGATATTTACTTACCTTTTCTCTGATTTTTAACATTTTTTCAACAAATGAAATAAAAACCAAACCCACTAGCATATTTGTATGATGATGTGTTTACAACTAGTCAGCACACTCTTTAGTTGTATCATGTTACTTGCTTGAGTAATACATTTAATTATTAGAAGAAAATGTTTTTTTAATACTTCTGGTTTCAAGGGAGAGGAATTTTCTATAAACATTCCTAGATCTTTGTCCCAACCTCTACTGCACCTTACCTGCTTGTAATTCTGGTCTCTCTTTGTGGGAACCAGTAGCTTGCAGTTAACATGCATCCTGTGATTTCTCTACATTTGTTCTCTGTTTTCTAGATTGTTAAAGCAGACTTTAAATCTGTTTGCCACATAAGAATATATCCTTTCAGGTCTTTGTTCAGAAATTTTATATTAGCAAAAGGGTTTGATAGCATGATGGCAATTTTATTTTATGTTTTCTTTAATTCTTGGACAATAGGTATTTCAGCTGCGTAAACAGAACCTGAATGTTGCAGATTAAATGAAGAAAATAGTCACGTATCCAGGACGGAATATAAAGGTACTTGGGCTAAACATAATTTTTATTTAGTTTTAAAAAGAGGCTTAATGTACCTAGGAAGGGATATAAAGTCACTTGGGCTAAACGTAATTTTCTTCCGTTTCTACAAAGAGTATTAATATCTATCCGTGTTGTAAGCTCTTAGCAATTTTTGGAGGATTGTAGCTTGTGTTCTGTGCATTTTGATTAGCACAAATGGAGACATTGAAGACTTATGTAATAATAATACTCCATGCATTCTGTAATGACTTTCTCTAAAGAATGTGCTTTTCTCTGTAAACATTTTTATGAAAAGTCAAAGAAGTGGAAAATATGAGAAAAAATATTTTCCGGTAACTATATTCGACTTAAATATTTTGGTATGCCAAATTCTGATATGATGTTTAGAGATATTATAATGAATGCATGAGAATTCATTCCAGAAAAATAAATATACATTTCTTTCTATTTAAAATCTCTGTTCCTTGTATAATATACCATTTGGGGATTTCTATGTTAGTCCCTCCACTGCCCTCCCACCCCCCATAAAAGAAGCTGATAACTTCTGTATTCTCATTCATCCAGGAGTGATTAAATTACCAGAATCCTTGCCTCACAATTTGGATGATCAATCCGAAAGTGGTTACAGCAGGACTTTTAGATGGTTCTTTGTTTTTGCTGAAAGAATTGCTATTTTCTGTAAGATAGCAGCATATATCTCAGTGGTAAATATGTCTCAACTGTGATACACATAAATGTTAATATTGTTGAAAATATACATTAGCATATAGTGCACCCACATCCCTCCCACTATTGCCCCTCTCAGAGCCTACAGACTTCTCTGATGTCTCAATTATGCTATTAGAAGAACTATGTGTTGGGGAGACAATGCTTTCTGAGCCCCATGTGCTCCTGGTGCCATTGCTCACAAATGCCAGGCTTTGGGCCTGGCTGAGGAATGGACACACAGGGCTGTGCATGGTGCTGCAAGACCCTCCCATTCTACTTCCCCCAACACTTACTGCCCCACCCCACAATATGCCATGGACACTATCAATCCGTTCAAGACTCAAATCCTTCTTTTTGTCAGTCACCACAAGGCACCCCAACCCCCAAGTCCTCCCTAAGTGTTATCTAAACACTCACTCTCATGAAACTGAGTACCTCTCCCACTCTAATCCAGGCTTACACACTTCCCAATCCATCAAATCCTGTTCTGTTCTCTGAAACTTGAGTCAGTCATCATTGACTTACCCTTTAAGTTTAACCTCTTGCTAAGTTTTCATTCCCCTGCTTATCTTAACACAAAAAAAGGCTCCTCCCTGAGGATGCTGCCTTCTCTGTGGTTCTTTCAAGTGGTAGTTGTGTTTTCTCTCCATTTAAAACCTTTTCTTCATCATGACATTTCCAGAACATTCTCCCTCTATTCTTCCTAAAAATTTCCAGCCCGTTTGAAGATTATATCATCAAAAAAAATCATTCCCCTTATTGTAGTTATGCTCAATCCTTGAAGATACAACCAGCCAAATCACTATCTTAAGCTTTCTTACTTCAACATTAATCCTGAATGACACTCCTGCCCCTTTGCTAATGCCCTTGCCACGTTCCTGAATCTGACTGGAGTCCAAGGTGAATCTTGAGGTCTGCATATTCTATGGATTCCATACATTGTCTATACCCTACTGCCTTCACTTGCAGACTTACATGGAGTGATATGCTGTTTGATAACACTTGAAAGTGAGGGGTCAGCTCCCCAAGATGTGAACCTTAACTAGTGGGAAAAGGGAGATGGGAGAGAACAGAGAAGACAAATGTCTCTTTATTTCTCCCTTACATGGACTGCTCCAGTGTATGTCTTCTCCTTGCAAACTTCCCAGAGAAACCTCACAGTCTAAGTGAAAACACTTGCTGAATGATCTACCTTACCTCTCTACAAAGTGCACTTGCACTTCTTACTACTGCTTTTATGTTACTTTGCATCTTGTTTTACCTTGTCTCTTTTCATCTTCACTGTCCTGGACTTCCACATACTGAATAAGGTGTAAGTACTTTGATCCCTGCCTCAAGCTCTATTTTCTAGAAGCTGGAGGCAAAGACAAATCATTAGTACCTATGAATATCTTCTGTGTAGGCCAGAGGGAAATCAATATGAAACTTCCAAGGCAAAATAAAGAAGATACTATATTCTGTCCCAGCGGATTCTTCATTCTTAATCATGTATTTGAGAAAAATGATACTCAATCAATGTGTAATGAGCCACAAGACAATATATTTTTTCTGCTTCCTTTACTGACAGATGATCTTTGATTTTTCACAAGGGATTACATTTTATTATTTGTTGTTTTTCTTAATAAAAATGGAGTAAGAGTCTCACATGAAATGGATCAATGTACGGCTGGTCACCGGCATTCCTCTGCTCCCAGCTGTCAAACCAGCACAGATTTTGATATAGCCATTTCATGATTGAAAATTTCATTTTCTTGTGAATTGCAGATGCCACTGCACTTTATGAACTCTAGACCAGTGCTGTCTCGCAGAAATTTTGTTGGTGATGGATTTATTCTGTGTCATTCAACACAGAAGCCGCAGGGCCAGGTATGGCTATTGAGCAGTTGAAGTGTGGTTAGTAAGACTAAGGAATACAATTTTTAACTTTTTAAAAAAGTTTAATTCAAATGTAAATAGCTACATGTAGTTAGTGGCTAACATATTGAACAGTATCAGTCTAAACCACAGGAGTGATGCTTTTGTTTTTTTTTTTGTTTTTTTTGTTTGTTTGTTTTTGTTTTTGTTTTTGAGACAGAGGCTCGCTCTGTCGCCCAGGCTGAAGTGCAGTGGCCGGATCTCAGCTCACTGCAAGCTCCGCCTCCCGGGTTCACGCCATTCTCCTGCCTCAGCCTCCCGAGTAGCTGGGACTACAGGCGCCCGCCACCTCGCTCGGCTAGTTTTTTATGTATTTTTAGTAGAGACGGGGTTTCACCGTGTTCGCCAGGATGGTCTCGATCTCCTGACCTTGTGATCCGCCCGTCTCGGCCTCCCAAAGTGCTGGGATTACAGGCTTGAGCCACCGCGCCCGGCCTGGAATGATGCTTTTGTAACCTAAGACACACAGCCTAAAGTCAGTCGCCTGTTCCAAAACCAGCTCTGAAGATAGCATTTCTGCTACTTAGAGCACACAACAAGAACTAAACTACAATTGAATGATGAGAAAAAATCCTAATATAGCTGGAAAAAGTGATTGTAGCAAAGTTTTATAATATTAACCCTCAGAATAAAATAAAGCCACTTTGTAGACATTTCTATAGCAAATGTTGCTGAAAAATTAATGTATCTGCAATGATTTACATGATTTGATAATCCAGCTTTTAAAGGGATCCTGCTTATTAAACTTTCTACTTTATAAGTTAACAGGATACAACTGACTAATCAAAGCCTCCAAGCGATAGTTAATTCTTTGTTTTTCTCAGTCACGTTAAAACCATGTCCTTAGGAAAGTCTTATTTGGACCTCCCCCATCTTCCTTTTCAGTCAAGATCCTACTTACGTGCTGTCTTAGCATCATGTTCATTTCATTCAATTCAATTTCCTGTTCACAATTATACATTCACTACCATGATTATTTTATTAAAATCTATCTCTTTTAATAGACTCTTAGATCTTTATAAGCAAGAGGATGACTCACTCACCTGGCACAGGGTCTGACATATAATAGGTGATTAATGAGTGCTGAATGTAAGAGCAAAGTATATTCATGTTTGCAGAAAAAAAAATTCAATTTAAATTGCTTTCCTGTATGTAAAATTATCTGAATGCTTTCCAATGGTTAATTCAAATAATATGCATTGCCAGTTAACTATACTTCTTTATGCCTCCTTTCCTTTTAACCTGAAAGGATAAACCAACTCTTTTCAATCCAATGATAATTAATAGGAAACTTAGAAAACATAATCTAGCTTAATTGACAGGTTTCAAAAATAAATAATTGCCTTTGGAAAACTGAATAACTGTCAAGCATTAGTTGTACAATCATCAGCCACATAAAGCTTCAGAACTCTGCTGTTTAGTAATAGTTTCTCGGTTTTACACAGTAGTCCTCTTTTATCCATAGTTCCCCATTCTGTAGATCCAGTTACCTGCAGTGGATTCAGTCAACTACAGTCCCCAAAATAGATGAGTATAGTACAAGAAGATAGGTTGAGAGAAAGAGAGACCCCGCAGTCTTGTAACTTTTATCACAGCATATTGTTATAATTGTTCCATTTTATTATTAGTTACTGATGTTAATCTCTTACCATGTCTAATTTATAAATTAAGCCTTATAATAGGTGTATATGTATAGGAAAAAACCCAGATTACAGAGGGATCAGTACTATGATTTCAGGCATTCATGGGGGGTCTTGAAACATGTCCCCTGTGGTAAAGAGGAGACTACTGTAATTCTTGTGACCTCAATACTCTCCCTCTTACCCTCATGCCAGAAAGAAACCACAGACAAGAATAATTGCTTTGTGAACTATCCCTTTCTCCATTTATATCTCATTATTTTATCAGATTACATAGTATTTTATCATTGAAATATTTTAAATGGTGATTACAAGTTCTTTCCAAAAGAGAAAGTTTCTAAATTCTGTTGAACTGAGTTACTGTCTATGTATACTTTTGGAGCATAGGTGCCTCATTTTTTTTTTTTTTCATTCTTGCCATTTTTTTCCCTAATTCTTCCAGGGGATAAGTGTGCCTAAATATACTACAAATCAACAAAATCAATATTTGCTAAGAGTACTTAATGTTTCAGGGCTATTATTTTTTAAATCTTCAACAATAAAGCAAAACTGGGCTACTGAGGTTAAGATCTTGACTTAGTCTCTTTTGACTGCTATAAAAAGCTACCATAGATTGGTGGCTAAGAAACAACAGAAACTTATTTCACACAGTACTGGAGGATGAGAAGTGCTCAGCCTCCAGGACCAAAGTGCTGGAGATAAAAAAGTGCTGGCAGATTTGGTGTCTGGTGAGAAAGG